GTTGCAACTGAGTATCATATAATTATTCTGCACGCAAGGTGAAGTTGTAGCCATCCCTTCACCACATGCATGACTGTACGGCTCATCGCCAGTCGCCAGATCACGAGATCTGTCTTTTTTATTACACTCACAAATCACGCCACAGAATCGTGACTAACTTGACTACAAAGCTCACAGTCAAGCCCTAGATCCCAAGACTGGCCTTCTTTGCATACACGTACAAATCACGACACACAAAGGTGACTAATCTGACATCGACTGTCTACCGTCCCATAAGCAACAAGTCATGTGCTAACACACGCAAACGCTCCAAAATATGGGAGAGCAGCACAGCAACACAAGATAACTCAACAGAGCTATGCACGTCGCCCAACTCGGAGCAGAGCCGCTTCACTCACGGATAGTCAGGGAATACGTGTGGCTGCTACAACAGCGAAGAAGACACGAAATCTGCATCCGGACTTGCAACAGGATTTATCAACCTATATTTGCAATACGATAAGCCCCCTGTTCGTATATATACCTGTTGTAATAATTTTATTCAACAAGTTGATAATGTTAGTGCTCCCCGTTTTCTCGTTCGTATAACTAGTTTTCGGGTTCCAGTAGAGCATTAACAAAGTAAGGGAAAACAAACACTCCAACAACCTGATATCTGTGAACCAGAATATACAATATGGGAATGAATTTACAGACTTTTTATGCTAACACGTGCAGATGTTCTTCATCTGTGTCCCGAATGAAATCGAAAACCATCCATTGTTTTTAGAGGAGCGTTCATTCTGTAACATGAGGCGCAAAGCACTGCACGCACTACAGGACCTCGTAACTCCGCAACGAACCACGTTTATCTTTTTGTCCCAATGATTTCACCCAAACACCATCTAAGATGCAATGAAGCAACCTAACTTGAATATGGTTATCATATTTATGTGGACGGGTATAAAAATCGGAATGAGCGTCCAACACGAACCAGTAGAAATTAACAAACACGTCTCGAGAGGCATGTTGGAAAAGCCCCAGTCTTTGTTAGTTGCTGCTTCTGACAGGATTTCCGACAATTATCTCATAATCATTATTGGAATACTGTTTCCATTACATGTGATGATTCAAACATCATATCAAAAGGGTTAGGTTTCAATATCACACCGAGTCCTATCAGCGTGGCCGGGTAATTTCGTTAGAACGAATTTACCACTGGCAGGAAGAAGCACACTTTGACTCCAAGGAGTACTCGTCATCAAGAGTCTATGTGTTTGATCTAGCAAATACTGCCGTGAGAAAGTCAATGGGACCCTCGAACGTAATGAGATGCCTCCACTTACGAGTTTAGTACTTCGTTGGAGGTCAGATTTGGGAAGGAAAGTGGCTAACGAGGATTGGTTTCTGCCCATCCTTCTGGTGCAAATGGACTGCGATAAAGGTGAAGTAACGTACTTTTAAGTGAAATCGAAGCATGGTGAGGACCCCAAGTAAGAGATTCCGCATTTAGGAACATACTGGATTTTCTAGGGGTTACTCCGGTAGTCATTTACTTTGGAGAACTCCCCGCCCATGACTCCACAGTTTCCGCAATACGACTTGGTGACATGTTAAGAGTAAACGAATGAAAAGATGTTCTGGAAAATAAGAAATGCAAATATTATGGGCCATCCGTGCACCTTCGTGAGGTAACTCAAGGAACGACCCTATGGTGAAAATTAAGCTTCACGTCTTTGAGGCATGTCTTCATCTGGTGATCCGGGGTGACCAGGCATTGTCGATGCCACGCCTTTTTAGGTCAGGATAAACAAAATAGCCCTGTGACTGGAAATATGCACCAGTATCAATTTGTCCATCTAACCGGGTCACTTTGTCTAGGAGGAAGCGAAAAAGTTAGGCAAACGCCTACTAGTAATCAATCACACTCTGTCCGACATGGTTTAATCCAGAGAATTATTTTGAGGCCCGTTGCTCGGATCAGCCGGAACCATTTTCGGACGTCCCAAGAGTTTAAAGTGATTTACTGACTTGTTTTATACGATAAAATTCGTTTGAAAATTCGACCGTTTTGAGGAAATAAAATATTTTGTAACTGTTATCAAGCTTCTTAGAGGATACAATAAGCGCCACACCCATTAAACCTTGATTTAATACGTTCTTTGGAAAGCCAGCATGAAATTGTTCCGAAAAATCGATGTACACATGTTTCGTTCTGATCGATCAGGTTTCTTTATCAGAGCTTGCGCAGTTCAATATCATCCACTTTTGCGTTCCTATTTCTTAACACCACAATGAAATCTTGGATTCAGTCCTGTTATTGTAGTGTGAAAGCTACAGAATGCTCCTGATGGTGTAAACAGACCCAATTAACCACCAATGACCACCAATAAGATCTTGGAATTCCTTCACGGGTATTGTCAAATTAACAAAGATTTTATTCGAATATTCCCTTAAACCGGGAATCAAAACGATATCACATCGCTAGTCGTAGTAACCTCAGAAACACCACGGTACATCATCCAGTAATTATCGGAATCAAAAACGGTGAGGTCGAATTACAGAGAGCGATTTCCACGCCAGACGCCGAATAGTGTCAGGATGGTCAGATTTCTGAAAATAATTCCATAATACCCGAAACCTACTAAAACCCTCATACACCACCAGAATTGGATTGGGGAAACCGTCAAGCATCCTGACCGGAAAAGCCGGTCGGACGTTCAGGAAGCCACTCAGCAATGGTCAGCAACGACTAGTGTTCAAGCCAACGCCAACCAATCACCAACGCCGATCGAACAGCCTGGATTCAAGGTCAGAGGAACACTTCAAATACTACGTTGCCCTTCGTAATTTTCGAACTCGATTTTTCCATATAAAGTTGCGGTGTTCCTCGCTGTTGAGCTTTTTAAGACAGTAAGTTACTTGAGTGGGGATTACAGTTAATTACAACAGCTACCACAAGAACTACATTAGCATCCACCATGGTAAGCCAAGAGGTCAGTTTGTGTGAGGGTCGAAATAAGCGTCAAAAATTGACCCTGAGGTACAGCCAGCAGCAACGCCTTTGAAACACCGTCTAATACGTAACCCCGAAACCGCTTAGGATGATTCCCGCAACATATAGGGATACCTGCATCATGGAAGAGGTAATGAATACTACTGCTGGATATATTATGCATACTCGAGGCCAGAGGCAATTGTTCGTTATGGAAAGGTAGTTGTAGGGCAGTAACCATAGTGCGAACCTAATATGGTGGCCTGTCGACAAACGGCCATCTTCCCCAGCTATTCTGATGATCAAGTACAGTGGTCCACCGGAATGCTGACTTCATCCCTAAGGAGACCACTTAGTCGCAGCGTCGCGAACGCTATCATAGGACTGATGGGCAAAATGTCAACCGTCATCCCAAGAATTTTACTATCCCCAACAGATACTGTTTTACGGGAAATCGAACGGCATTTAGCAGAGCGATTAACTTGTATTGAGCTATGGGGGGACCGGGATGTTCAAAATCCAAGGTTAATCCTACTAGACACCCACGGAGCGCATTCCTGATACCGCCCAGTGAGCTTGGTAGCTAGAGTGCGTGCGTAAACAGGTAGTCCCCGAGCTCGAGTAGATAAAGGGATGTATAAAGCACCATCATCTAAGCGGCAGTTGTTCCGTTTTTCGGGTCGATGGCGTCCATTGAAAACCCAGTTGTTGCAAATTGCCCAGCTGAACAAATTAGGCCTTTAGACGAGCGCTCCATCAAAATTGGGGTGTTCCTTGACCTCAAAGGCGAGATGAACTTAGTCCGATTCAACCGAGAGGAAGTCAAGGAACAGTATACTACCTACGTGAAGCTTTATAAGTTTATTAAAGACAAATCTCGCTCGGTTATCCGACCCAAACTAACGACTCTGCCCGGACAAACTGAAAGTCAATTTCAAAAATATCAAAATACTGACGACTCCGACCGGTTTCAGACAAACTGGAATCCAACTGTGCACTTGATCGGCATACATAACTAAGGGGTACAAGATAATTTTCCTATTGTTGGGCTTCGTCTTGCCACTGCCGTGGCAGGATCCTTGTTTCACAAAGCACAGCACAAATCGCACGGACGTAACCTACATGACTCAACACGAGACCTGTGAACTTCTACACGCCTATTACAGTCTGTAGAATTTAATCCCTTCCGTAGCAAATTATATGATCGAGCTGCAGTCGCCTGATGATATGAGAGGAATTTGAAGCTGCATAGAATATGCTCTAAATTGGGGGTTGGAGAGTAAGGCGGTGATGAATCATATAATAATCTTTCAGATGTAGCACTATTTCGGTGCATCGCTGCAGTGCCACCCGAAGGAAAACAGAGGCCTGAGTTAGCGTAGACAGAAGCAGTCGATGTGCAGAGGTCGGGTTGGAAAACCACGGGCCTTCCAGTCAGCAAGTTCACCACTTAGCCATCGAGCTCCGCTACGACTGGCCCGTCGGTGATTTAGGATACCTAGCAGAACTAAAATCCAAACGTATCACCCGTCATCTGCAGGCAATCAACTTTGATATCAGTACCGAAAACGACTCGCAAACAACTGTTCCACCGAAAGACTACGCAAGCATGTTCAGACAGGCACTTCTTAGGTGGACAAGTGCTAGCCTAACCGGGCATAGACACCTGGAGGTGAACGAACAGGCGCCAGCCTCATATTGTTATCTAAAGGTTCACATGATAGAAACCCAGAGCTCATGTGTTTAGAACAGATGCTCACATCTGGGAGGCATGAAATAAACTACAGGAAGTGAACGGTAGTTGGGTTAAAGATGTCTGCGACTTCCCACTGAAAACTCAGTATTGTTAGCTAGGAATCATGTGTTGGCGAGACCAAACAGCTGCAGCTTGCGTCATCGATGTAGGGATTCAACTGGTCTATGCACCTGCTCATCGTTCTGAGGAGGCACAGTTCAAGACCACCTAGGAGAAAAGAATCTTTCAGGTGTCTTCATTTGGTCTGAATGGATCAAAATAAGGAATTATGCCGATTCTGACAGGCTCAATAGTACTGGATTCACTACGAATCTTACAGGGCCAACATGGACACAAAGCCCATAGTAACGGGCTACGTCTAAGGGTGGGAAATTCAAATATTTCAACTGTAATTGGCATGATGAAAATTGACGCAGAACAGACACAATAATTGCGTGGAAAGAAACTGATTCACAGCAGTAGGCAAAAAAATACTGGACTTCAGAGAAAAGTGTACACACCATCGGCACGTAAGAAAACTGTAATTGGCATGATGAAAATTGACGCAGAACAGACACAATAATTGCGTGGAAAGAAACTGATTCACAGCAGTAGGCAAAAAAATACTGGACTTCAGAGAAAAGTGTACACACCATCGGTCACGTAAGAAGATCGGGAAACACGATCAATACAGCAACAAAACACCCACCACAGAGATACTGACTCATGATGATAAGAATGATAAGGCGACAACATAATATACACAAACGGCGGAACGGTTGCACTCGGATTTGTTCTCGTGTGAAGTGATATGGTTGCAAGCAGCAAACAAAAATAACGAAAAAATTAAGCAAAACATCAGAAGCCGGAAAAAAAGAAATGTCCTCATTTATGGAAAACAGCAGAAACGAGGTGATTGCTCGGAGATGCGTGACTAGGGTTTCGGGGAGATGCCAGCATGTAAACGCAACATTGAATGCTCACATCGGTGGAGAGGGCGAAGTTAGTGATTGTCTGGCAAAATAAACACGAGGTCAAAAGATAAAAAGAGTAGCCGAGGGAGACAGCAACATATGGGCGGGGCGTCAACTGAATCGAGTTAGACACTAGGTACTGCGCGGCAGACACGGCACAACCGGTTGTGTTGGAAGGGGCATCAGAATGTGCAGTATCTTATGCGGATCAAACGTTCGCCATCGGACAGGCGGCATCACCCAGAGAGTTTCGATCGAATTCAGTTCCATATTCTCAGAAAGCTGTCCCACGATCCTGTGCAAACTGCCATTCCGTCTTCGGTCACTCCGAGACACGAAACACGGTTGTCATGACCAGCAAGCACCCCTGCAAACAATACATTAGGCTGTTAAACCGAAACAAAGTTGGATTCTGGAGACTGCATTACTTTTTGGTTTATTTTCGTGCATAGATATGAAATTACTAATAAAGTCAGTGGACATGTATTTACTCGGCCCCCAATTACGGCCGTTGACGTTTGCTTGCTTCATTCATTCAGTCAGTTTGTCATCCATAAGTCGCGTACCAAGTAAATTTGGTCCATGCGGCTACAGCTCCGTTCACTGGAGACAGTGAGTGACAGGAATTGGTGAATGGTTGGAAGAGTCCAATACCGGTAGGGCTACTGGCGCACCAAACGTCCTAAACATTAGCGAGTCAAACACCAAAGCATGACAGACATCAGTTACGTGATAAATATTTCAGAAGATTCAACAATTCAGGGGTTAGGGGGCTTTTTGTGAAATCCGTTACAAAACCTATTTCAAAAGTACTACAACTGTCACACAATCAACAGATTAAGATTTATCGACCAAAGCCCTGGTTTACGCAGACTATGCAAACGATAGCATATGGAGACTGAAGATCGCAGAAAATTCACATTGCTGAGAACTAAATTTGTTTTACAGACTGGAATAAAAATACATCCAGATCACGGGGCCGGAGGTGAACTCAAATTGAAGGTGTGCCTGATACGAAGTTCAGTCTGCGCAATACGATGCAATAAGCGCCTGATTGCTACAAGGTATTAGTGGCCGTAGTTGGTCTAAAATCCAGTAACATTAATCATGAACTAGAAAATAACGATGTTTCAAAGTGCGATTGAAGCTAATCTAGGTTCGACGAACAGTAATGATACATCAACTAGACCGGAATAAATCCAAGACATCCTACTAAAAATAGCATCCAGGCATCTAAGCGGCACCTGAGAAATTGACACTCGAAACAAAACTTATGAATTATGAGATTTTGTGGGAGACTGTGCTACGAAATCTAAACGGTAGTTTGTGCTCTATCTCCAGCAAAGATCGTTCCGTCTAAGCAATTTTCTGTTTGTTTCCAGAAAATCAATAAGGTATAAAGTATGAAAAAGGTGGGCTCACACAACCGCGGGGAGACTTACCAGCGCGTTCTTGCTTCAAAGTGTCCCACACATTGCAGTTGAAGTCATCATAACCACCCAAAAGTAGACGGCCACTTTTGCTGAATGCCACACTTGTGATACCACAGATGATGCTTTCATGACTATACATGCCAATCTCTTGATCCGATCGAATATCGAATAACCGACAAGTAGCGTCATCACTTCCGGTGCCAAAAGACAATCCGTTCGGGAAGTAAGAAACGGCATTGATATCGGACTCGTGTCCAGGAAATGTTTGTTTACACTGTCCATCTCGCAAGTCCCAAAGCTAAAGTGCGCGGATGAATAATAGATCCACGGTCAGAAATCAACACCAAGCATCCTGAGCAACCACTACAACCACACAGCAAAACCCTCTTGCGGAAATGCGATTCCTACGCCCACAAGAGATACGATTTTCGGTTTTCGCAAACACGTAAAAAAGTCCCAAAGCTAAAGTGCGCGGATGAATAATAGATCCACGGTCAGAAATCAACACCAAGCATCCTGAGCAACCACTACAACCACACAGCAAAACCCTCTTGCGGAAATGCGATTCCTACGCCCACAAGAGATACGATTTTCGGTTTTCGCAAACCACGTAAAAAAACATCAAACTACTCACTCATGTCACCCTTTCAGCGAATACTGCTACCGGGTCTGCGGGAAGCGTGAAGTCGGTTTACAACTAAATTACCCAAGTTCGGAAAGAAGTAAATTACTAAACAGGAGTGAAATTGCATACTGAGCGGCCCGATTCTCAATTCGCACACTAAAATCCGCGTCATGCCGAGTTCGGGCAAACGATAATTTGGAAGCCGGTTTGCTACTAATAAAACATTCAGTGGATAATCAGACACAGATATACCCAAGGTATTCAAACTCTGAATAAGAATATGTCATATTTGCTTAGAACGAGGATCCCAAAAACAAGCGAATTCATTCGCGTGAGGACATGTCGAAAGAGTGGAGTGAAATTTGAATATGACCATAGCTAGTCACTGATATGTATGACATTCGTCTGAGCTTTATATTTACGTTGGGAGGAGGGTTACTTTTTCACGAACGGTAACAGAACCGTGCAACTGGCAAGCGATTTCATGAAAGTCCACGGTGGGGACACCTAGTGTTATTAAAAAACAAATATACACAAAATACCAATAAATCTGGACTTAAGATTAGAATGAAAAATGTATCAGATCCTGTGGTTGCAGAGTACTATTCACTGGTTACGTCACCTGGTGTCAAGTTCAGCGTTGAAAGAGTGACCCACTACCTGATGTGATCGTGAAAAGGGAGGTAAGCTTTATATTGTTGTTCCAAAAACAAGCCCTTCTGAGTCATTACCACCATTTGTATCACGACCGATATAGTGTGCAGCGCACAACGTGCCACGCACTAATACGTACCATTGATTCGATCGTCACTATTGCGTCCACAAGTATACACCTCCAAGTTTGGTGAACATCTCTGACATTATTACCTACGTCAGTTAACCTTATCAGACAGTTAAACACGCCAAGAAAAACAGGCCAACCCAAAAGGATAGGGATGAATTTCGCCAGCTAGCCATAGAAACGAAGTCTTGATCATTCCAAGAGGTCATTAGTAGCAACTAGATTTAGCAACAGAATGTTTTATCACTGCTGGACAAATGAACTCCGAGTACATACTATTTCATACGTAAATATAATGTACGGTATATGATGCAGCATACAGCATACATGAGTATATTTAGCATTTGCTAGTATATTACAACCCATGATAAATTTCCAACTTCAGTTAGGCTTCTACAGCCTTGCCTTAGGCCGCCTTTCTTTTTTAGGACTGACCCCCAAACAAGAAGCAGACCAAAATAAAGATTACTGGTGCTCTTTACATGGATTAAGGAAAATAGTAAACACGTTTAGAACTCCGATGATATGGCGCGGCAGAATGAATTTTCCCTTGATTTTAACCACAAAGAATCTGTAAAGGTTCAGCAAAGTCTAAGCATATTCATACGTCCATAATGTAGGTAACACATCTATTTGGAGAGAGACAAAACCACCTCAGAAATACGTAGACTAAATCCATCATTTAGTCACGTACCAACAAGCACATGGATCTTGCATTCCCCCGTGAATAATCCCTTCAGAATTAAATTGATGATATACTGCGGGTAGAAAGTTGGATTTCCAGTCATTTAACAATCTAGCTAGAGATTTCACTGTCTTCCCATATAAGTACGTCGTAAAAAATACAATGTAGGGAACGGAATCGATTCGATTACTACGATGGTCCGAAAACTTTAACCACTTAGCAATTTTTCGGCACTTTTTTAAATTAAAGTTACTAGCGGCAACGTAGTACATGCGAAGATTGTGGACAAAAACGGGCATCACTAGAGAATACTCGGTCACTACGCTGTAAACAACCGGTGAAGCAGGGTCCGCATTCTAGGCATCTATCACCTTTGATCAGAGCCATATAACATATCATTCTATTAAGCAGTAAACCGACTGGGTTCAAATAGTTTGACAATATTCATCAGGATGTAGCACCGCGTTAAATGGTCAAAGAATGATTTGCACTGACGAGTGATGCAAGAACTGTCAATCCTAATACCGGGACCAGTAGAGAAAGTAAGGTCAGCGGGATGGAATAGGAGAAAATAAACATGGGTAGGCGTAACATTTAAGCGGGAAAAATCAAACATACACGACAAACAGCCCTGAGATATAAGTGTGGTACTACTATTCGGTAGTTAGGAGAATTGAAGCTTCTAGGCGAGCATAGCGTTTGACAGCGCTAGGGCAATAGAATAAACGAAGAACGAAAAAATGTAAGAAGACCTTATCGAAAACTGAAACATCTCAAAGAAGGCCTATCTTTCACGATATCCCAAATCATCATAAGCGATTTTGGAAGAAATATAGCTTCTGTCAGGAGATAGGCTACAAGAGCGGGAATATTTTAAAAGGTTTCTTCGGTACTGGTGATTTCAGCCATCACGGGTGCTTTTCCAATTTGCAGTGCGAGGCATGGCTTGATTGTGTGGGTAAAAACTCACGAGACGACATTGTGACAATAAGTTATTCAGCAAAAGAAGAGGCTTCCGGCTAGTTCCACGGAGACTGGATACAAAGCAATTAATGGTAAATTCATAGACATAAATCCCCCCTCAGAAAACAGAGATTGGCAGTCGCATGATTACACATGTAGATGGTGTATAGTTCGCAACACATGAGGCCAAACACAAGTAGTGACGTATGATGCTATTTGTAACCCTATTTGTGGTCTGGTGGCTAGTGGGAAACTTCGCCACATGTAGGACAACATGGGACTTGAAAAACTGAATGGATGGGGCACGACCTTAGATTCAACCAGAAAAATGTGCCACATGAGTCTTACAGTCAAACCTTGTGCGCCGAGTTAAATCTCCCTGTTTAACAAAGCAAAAGCGATCCGAGTAGCTATGCGAAGAATGACGGTGGCCTAATTTCAACCCTAAATGAACGGGTTGTGAGGTGCGCGAACCAAACTATCACACGCAGTTTTTCCCCACATACATTCAGCAACTTCAACAAACTTTACTGTAGCTTTTCCGAAAAAAGACCACCTACGGGGAATGAATAGACCTCCCTTCTTGGGGACAGTTTTTGTCTTGTAAGTGAAATCGGTCTATGCCGGAGAGCAGAGAAGTACTGTGTAGCCGTTTCATCATGATTGAGGATCACCGGCAGTGGACAGCTCACAAATTTCCAGAGGCATTAAGACCCGCGACCCTACCAACGATAAAGTATGGGTAGTTCAGAAAGCGGAACGATTCACAAGACAAGTAAACCTTCCTCCGAGAAGTCCACATTCAAAGAGACGGTCAACACGTGATAACGCGATATGAACTGTGATTGAAGAATGAGTGACTCCAGACACGTCTAAGAGCAAGTAATTAATAATAATCACCAGCATCATCAGAGACAGCAACATCAGTGTTGACATTGGTGCCTTACGGCCATGAGTTCTATCTAATTATATTTAGTCCTAGAGTAAAAAGGAGAGAAAAAGAATGGGTGAGTGAGGGGACCTGGAGCTGGCCTATGTCAAGCATACAGAGGTGCCTACAGCTCCAAGAGCTCAATCAGACAGCACATACGCCAATGACATCGACTAGCTGCCATTCCTTGTAATGTTCCAAGCCAAGCCCTTTTTTAAAATGACCACTACTGTCGATTCACCACAGGTGTCGGGAATGGTCTCTTTCTTCCAGAGAGATCCGAATAGGCTAAACAGACACTGGCTGAGAAACCTGACATGCTTGAAGAGGGCGGTTGGAAGGTCGTCAGGATCAGCAGCATGATGCCGCTTGAGTAGAGATATACACTCGAACACTTTTGAGGTTGAAGGCGGCTCCGTATTCACAGCCCAACTTTTTGCTGAAGGCCAGGATTCCAGATGGAGAGTAGCAGGTGACCAACTGAATTGCTGTTCGAACCACTATGCCCAGCGGCCCAAACGTCCTGATTTGCTGGATTTAAGGGAGCCATTTCGGTCTCCGATTGTTTCGCTGACAAGAGGTTGCCAGCGACCAATCGAAAGAATCACGCGGAACAGCTTGCGAACGTTTCTAACATTTTTTGCACCTTCAATTTCTTCGGTCTTTCGGGATCACTGGGTTTCGCAGTGGGTACGGACACTCAGTTCCACCTGGAGTCGCATAATGCGCTGAGTGGAGTTTTGGTTGCAGTCAGAGAAAACTGTCCCGAGGCCTCCAGCAAAGGCACAGTCCTATCAGAGATCAAATGTCCGGATGCGATTGGCTTGGTTGTACCACAAACAAAATTCCCGGCTCTGAGTAGCGCTTTGGGTATTCTTCCCCAGTGGTCGTTCATATTCGACATCGGACCGTCCGACAGGCGTTTGAGGAGCCGGTTGATATTTTCGTTTGATTTCTGGGTCCACAAGTTTCACGATGGCCAAGCGAGGTGTGCGCGCTTTGCGTAAAGCTGGAAAGGTGCAATCAAAAGAACCAGCGTGCAAGTACATGGTCGGAGTCCACGCTGGTAGTTCAGAAGGAGAGGTAGGCAGTGATGGACTCTCGCCGCCGATAACTGACGACGATGTGGTTAATTTGGATTCGGGGCACCATGTTATCAAGCGACTGCTGGTGCCCCGGAAATTGGCACTGCAAAGGGACAGTCCGCGATCGGCACACATCTGAAGTAAGCGATTTCTGTTGTCCGTGGGCCTCGTGCCCAGTCCAAGATGGTCACTCAATCAGGCCTCAGCAGCGGTTTGTCCACTTACATG